TCAGCCTAATTTTACAACCTATTTGGCCTGAAGATTTTTCATTTTTGCTGGATTGTATCTCATTCTTTGGCAGGACAAACCTTCAACAGGAATGTTGCAATAATCAATGAATTCCAACCTCCTCTTTCACACCACCATAAGCACCATAAGCATAATTGCTGTCCATTAGTATTACCACGGGTTGTTGAACCACGTGTTTTTGCTAGTTTCAAAGCCCAAATGAAGATGCAGAAAGCAGATTTTGTCATGTATTCCAGAATCAAACCTAGTTCACTATGGATGCTTCAAGAGATCTCTGCCCTTGGAAGAATAAAGGGGAAGCAGCAGCAGCGAAAGGTTTACGGAGGGCTTCCTTCCTCATGCTGGTTTCCTTTCCTACTAAATGCTGCCTCCCTCAACCTGTCCTCCAGATGTGTTGGATTCAAATCCTATCTTCCCCAGCCAGTTGAGATGCTGGCTGGGAATAATGGGAGTGGCAGTGCAACACATCTGGAATGTACCAGGTTGAGGAAAGATGACCTAATACACTGATGTCTAAAAACTTGGCAGGAAAATATATCAAAGCTGAGAAAAATTTCACTGTGGTTAATACATCAATAACAGCAGGACCCTACCTATGTCTACTCAGAAGTTAAGTCTCACTGCATTCAGTGAGGTGTAAACCCAAACCCAGATACCTTGAGTTTAGTTTTGCAGACTAACTGTTCCAATCTATGCCTGTTTACTTAGAAGTCCCACTGAGTTTTATGCAGACCTACTAAAAAGTAAATCTGTTGATTATAGCCCAACTTTGGTGGTGGAATACACAGTCCCCAGTGTTACTCAGGAATGCTCCTATAATGAACAAACAACTGCAGAGTTATCTCTTTAACTATTTATTTATTAATAATAAATATGCAGTATTTATTATTACTGAGTATTTTAGATGCAAGGCATCCTAAATTAAGGATCACTTCAAATATTAATCCTTTCCAACAAAGCATATCAGCCTCATATGATAGCCACCACACAGGAAATAACAGTAACAAAACCTCTCCGTACACAAAGTGAAGGACAGGTGTCCTAATCCCAATCAAGCCAATGCAAAAAGTGTCACATATGCACGCTTACAGTACAATCACATACAGATGGGGGACTTTTCCAGCGTTCACACCTGAGGGTGGCTCTTCCTGCTATCAGGAACAGCTTTTCAGGCTGTGGAAAGAATGGTACCTTGCATCTCACTCAGGTTTTGCAAACTTATTTCGGCGAGAAAAGTTTTCAGTGGAGAGAACTGGTAACATTTGCTGCCCCCTTCTGACAAATTTCTAATTTCAGACTTTGTATTAGGGGGAAAAGCCCATTTTATTTAGCATAGATACCTCTGCCTTTACTCGCAAAACTATTTCACACATTTTTTTATTTATTACTTAGATCTACCAGTGTACTTAGTTTAGTCCTCCAGTGCCAAAAGAGTTGTTCTAGACTTCAACAGCTGTTTAAAATATTTGTGGAACTATTTTTCTAAGGGCAAACCCAAACCAATTCATTCTTCATGTACTAAACAATTTGGGGTCAGTTGTCCTGTAGCTTTTTCCTCTTGTGCAGAATCCAAGGTAGCTTGCATGGACTCATTTTACCTCACAACAACCCTATGAGGCAGACTAAGCTGAGAATGAATGGCTCAAAGTCACCCAGCAAGTTTCATGGGGACTAGAACCTGCATCTTCTGAGTCTCCCAGTCCAACACTTTCAGCACCACACTACATGGACACATCATTTGCATCAGCTAATGCATATGTGAGGATGCACATTTAGAAATAATTGCCATATTTTAAATAGCAGGAAAGACTTCCGACTACTTGTGTGTCACCTCCGTTGAGGAGGTGTTCCACCAACATGAGGACATCTTCAAATAGTGGAATGTTTCCTGAATAGCACACTTGGCCACACTAAGAATTACTATTAAAATGAATGGGAAAGTGCCAAAAGACTGGTTAAGCTGCTTGGTCTGCTCTATCTCCAAGGTCTGCTCAAAATAGGATAGGCAAAGTAACATTTCAACTGTATAAAAATAATTATTTGTGGTTATACCACAAGCACACAGCAGTATTGTTATGGATCTATAAAAGTGTATTTTACAGAACAACAATGTTGCACTGGAGTCATGTGGTGGCCTAACCAGTTGCCCAAAGGAAGGTCACAAGCAGGAGATGAATTCAACAGCATCCTCCACCTTTCTGGACAACTGGCACACATTAGCATACTACCTCTGGTACTAGAGCGAGCATATAGCTATGAGGCCTAAACTGCCAGTTTTCCATGAAATTGTCCAAGCCCCCTTTAAAGCTGAAATTAGTGGCCGCCACCACACCTGGTGGAAGTGAATTCCACAGTTTAACAATGCACTGGGTGAAGTGCATTTTATCAGTTCTGAATGTCCCACCAGTCAGATTCATGGGAGGACCACATTGGAATCCAGTATTATGAGGGGGAAAAGTTTATTTAGTGACTTTCTTCACACCATGCATAATCCTGTACAACTCTTATCATGACTCCTTTACTTACCTTTTCCCTAAGCTAAGCAAGCCCAGCTGTTGTAACCTTTCCCCACAGGGTAGTTGCTCCAGGCCCTGGATCATTTTAGTCGCCTTTTTCTGCACATTCTCCAACTCCACAGCATCTTTCTTTAGGTGCAGTCACCAGAACTATACACAGTATTCTAAGGGTGGTGCACCACAGAGTCACATACAGGCTATGTGATATTGGCAGCAGCTGCAGAAAGATTCCTGGAGAAGTTTGTTGGACACCAGGAATAAAGAATTGCTTTAGGAAGTTAATTCTATTCCAAGTTGGAAAATATTATTTCAGCACCGGCGTTAACATGCTCATAATGCAATCCTGCAACAGTTCTGTAATATTCTTTAGGGGGGTGGAATTAAGTTGTTTTGGTGTGTTGGACAACTCCAAATATTTACTACAAGCTCAGCAGTTTAGGTTTCCTCTTCGTTGTTCTCCAGGGCTTCCTGGTAGCCCAATGAAGGGTTGCTTAAAAGGTAGATTATGTCTCTTCCACAGTCATGTTACTGGTTGGTTTGCCCTGACAAAACAAATAGGAACTCACCTCTACAACAGTAATATCTCACAGCAGTTCAACACACACTTCTTTCTGTACATGCTTTTGTTAAAGTTGAAATAACACAACTAATCAGACTTCTTTAGAGAAATTTAAAATTTGTAAAGGGTTATACCCTTACAATCCTATAATTCTAAGGATTCTGTGATGATAGCAGTTTTAATTTTGTGGGGACCAATGGACCCCAGTTGTGACAATCTGCATGTTTGGATTGTGAAACTAAAATAAATACATATTTTATGTTAAATTGGAATTCTTTATTCCACTCTTAATCTAGAATTTTGAAGGACCCATTGGACCCCAAGAGAAGATTGGTTTCAGCCAAGCTTAAGTTAAAAAAAAAAAAAACTATACATGTGTTTTTACATTTTTCCACCCCAAAGGAAGCCAATTCTTCTCAATAGGTTTTGCCTACAAGAGAAGGGTCCATACATTTTCTACCACATCAAACAGTAATTAAGATTGAATTCAGAGAGCAGTCAAATGAGCTCTACAATCACTTGAACCATAAATAATGCATTGTGCCCATAGCTCACAGATGTGGTGCATGGTGTGCTCTGTTAGCACTCAGATGGCCTTGAGAAGCCTTCTTCAACATGGTGTCCTTCAGGTAAGTTGGACTAGAACCCCCGTCATGCCCTGCTAATGGTTCTATTGTATTCCAACCACATGGGCATGGGGGACAGACCAGATTGTAGAAGGCAATAGGTCGAGAGATAGTGATGTTCAGTCTGCTCATGCATGATAACAAGCTACATCTAGGAAGAAAGACACAGAGCGGCTAGAAGAGGGAGCAAGGGGGGAGGTGGGAGTGAACACACAAAGGGGAGATGGACTGGGGGAGGCCAGGAAGCAACTCTCCAACTCTTTGGATCACCAAACAGCTGATCAGCAGCAGGTTCAAGACCAGCGAGAATCTTGTTCCTTAATGATTAGAAATACATATTCGAAGAGGCAGGATGTGGAGAATTCTTCAAGTCCCACTGGAGGTCCTCACTAGCACTATGCTGGGGACCCTTGACCTAACGCTTGTTCAGACTCTATAGTCAAGCTGCTATAATCAGCATTTCATAGATTTGGTGTGTATTTACTTAAGTAGTCTGAAGTTACTGACTGATGTGCTGGAAAAAGATGCTTCAACAAGTCCTCTAAACAGGCTTCTTGGCCGTGGTCCTTAGTCTTTCAGGAAGGCACATGGGATAGCAATACAGAGATTTGTTGTTCATTTCTTTAGACTTAAAACTTGTAAACTGGCTTTTGTAGCCAAATCTTACTGAAATTTGGCAGGGTCAATAGATGGCAAGATCTGGGGTACAGAACTGCCCATTCTCAAAACTGAAATGTATGGCTACATTAGATGCCATCCAAGATCAAACCCTAAATTTTCCACTAAAATAAGTAAAATTCCTTATAAACATAAAAGAACTCTGAAATGTTTGGAGTAACCTGATGGTCCAAAACCATAGCAATGCAATGCTGTATATGTGCAAGCAAACAAAATCAACTTCAGCTTCAGTAGCATATGCTGTGAAGCTCTTGTATCTTCTGCTAGACTGACACCAACAGAATATTTGCAGAGATTACACAAACAAAATCTGGATATTGCACCATGCATATGCCTATCAAAATATCTGTGTCATGTCTGTTCCTATGTTATACAAAACAACCACACTGGAGAAAATGCCTTTCTGATAAACAAAATGCCAATTGCCAGTTCAGCCTTACATTCCTCCAAGACTTAGTTACTTCTGCTTTCAACCATCTGAAATCTAGTTTCCTAGTATTGCAGGGGCCTTCCTTTGTACCAAGCTTCTGTCACCTTCAAAATTGCAAGGGTTCGGGTTTAGACTGATGCCGGAAAAAACAGTGATGTCTACTTAAAATGTAAAATACAAATGCTTTTTAATGATAAACTTAAACCAAACAAAGAGTTCATACTGACTTTTCCTGCAAGCCCCACAAATCTAAACTCATCTGGCTCTTGGAAACAGCAGGCTGAATCTTTCATTTTATTAGCAAAGTAGAAAGAAAAAAACATTGAGTTTACAAGCGATATCCAACAAGCCTGACATGTTACCATTGACAGTCTTGTAGGTTGTGCAATCACATCCATTGTATCAGAGCAACATTTCAAAAGTTCCAGGCTTCCCCAAGTGTGTCTAGAGGAACTAGCAATGGTGGTGGTCAGAGTGCGTCTCTTTCGCTGCTGCTTGTCTGTGAGTGTGGACATAACCCAGTGATGCATTTTCAATAATACTATCACATGAAGAACAACATAGTACCAAGAAAAACTTCAGGAGAAGCCTGATTTTAATAAATACTGCAGTTATGCAAATGCAATGAGGGCAAAACAACATCTGCATTTTTGTCACTTGTGACAGAACAACAGTATTATGATGTGAAAGGGCACATGCTTCTGGGGCTTCAGAGGAGACAATCTGTTCTCCCGAATATAATCCATATGTAGAATCTCTGGAATACTATTAACAAGAAAGTAGAGAGAGATACAAGGCTTTCTTGCAAAAGCTTACAATTCAACATTCCAGGAATCAGCCCATAAATGGAGAGAACACTGAAAGGTTCATTCTGAAGGAGAGACTAAGGTCATTTCTGCTGCACATAAAGAGTGTGCAAAAGCCATGTCCTCCTAAGCAAGTCCCACTCAGAGACATAAATCACTCCACAACCCTATTCAAGAGTTTGAGCAAAGGCATGCAGGCTTCAACTGGAAAGGGGAATGCTTACACCATCCCCACTCCCAGCATCCCTAACGTGGGGTGGCTTTGCTTCAGACTTGCACACATTTGACACCTATCGTGAAGAGGGCTTCAAACCTCATTCAGCAAAACCAAGCATACATGGGGACTTTTGAGTTGTGCCCTGTATTCTGGCCTGCCCACGTTAAGCTCCCCACTTTCACTCAAACTCCCGAAAGGGGCATCTGTTCCTTCTCGTATGAAGGACCAGTGTAAAGGGATAACTCAATTCTGTAATGAAAAATAAAAGGATACCTGGATAAAGGATTACATGGTGAAATATTATTTACAAAATACTCCAGAAAATTACATGCACTTCTTCATTGCCTTAGATGACAGGCAAAGGCACATTCGTGAACATTGGACAATGTGTTGTTTCCATCTTCATTGCTTGCTTCAAAGACTTGGTTTTCCTTGGAGATAGTATTACAGTATTTAATAATATGCAGTATTACTACTGCAACATTACTTTAACAGTATTTAATAATATGCAGTATTAAAGGAGCAGCTATAAAAAATTACTGCAAATGAAATACATTTTCATGAGCAAGTGAGTGGAATGACACACAAAAATTATTTATGAGCAACAGTTAAAGAATTTATAAATAGCATTTTTTGCATAAAGTATTTACATTTTTAAGATCTCTATAAACATATATAGTGCATCTAGAAGAGACAAGTTTAAATGTGTTCTACAACACAACATTTTTAGCATTAAACATTAGGTTAACTGACATTACGCTAAAGGGCTTTCACTTTTTCCATTTATGTACATTCTATAGAAAAACACCTTACAAAGTTTCATTTTACATTATTTCCACTCTCAAAATACATCTTTACATGTGACAGTTTAATGGCCTGCAAAACAGGCAATGAAGGGCAGGCATTTCATGCTTTATCCTATAATAATAAAAGCTATTACATGGTTTTAAGTGTTTGCATATGGAAAATGTGCATTCTTATAAGATACATGTGTATGTGTACACACACACACACACACACACACACACACACATCCCCCAGTAGATAGGACCTAGCCAAGACAGCCCCCTTAATATCAATGTACTATAAAAATGCCTTGGACCTTTCAGATGAGCCATTTTGTAATATTACGGGTTTTCTTTAAAAAAACAAAACAAAACACAAATACAGTCCAGTTGTAATGTAACAAATTTGGTAGCTGATCCTGAACAGTGCCAAAACCATCCCTGCCAGATATACAATGTACTGACTTCCATTTGTCTAGGGGAAATTCACATGACCCTCTTCACATAGCGTGGCGAAGCGATGCCTACCACAACCCTGGTACCACAAGCATTCCATTTATGTGGCGGGCATTGCATTGCAACTATATATACCTCACAATCATAACCAGAGAATTCTTTCCACAAGAGCTTTAACCACATGGAAGGCTCATGGTCTATAAGCTCCCAACATGAGACACCAAAAAGTTGCTACAACCTTGTTCCCAGTGTGTAACAATTCTCAACTAACTGTGTGACTGGAGCTTACAGACAGCTATGCCGCCATGTGGGCAGAGCCATCAGCAATAGTTTTAAAGCAGTGATATTGTGGTCAATTGTTCTCGCAGTAACTTGGACATTTTCAAAAAGCAGGGGACCGTTTTTGCTGAAGCCATCATAAGACTATTTTACTACAGATTCAATGCTTACGTGTTCAATGGCTCCTTCTCATCTTATCATGCCAAAAGTCTCATGAGTCTGCTGCTCTAATAGAGAATGTTAATAGAAAGACTTGAGTTGCCATTCTTAGGACCTCTCATAAAATCATGCCCGTAAAAGAGTATTTCCTCCCAAACAAAATTATAGCTAAGAGTATATTTGCATGGGCATTTCCATTCCAATGCACAGCAACCTCTGCAGTCACCGATAATGTGGGGGAGAGATGTGTGAAACTGGATTGTTGAAAGGGTTAAATGTTAGTGCGTTTTGAAAAAGCCAGATTTTTACAGATTGTCAGGAGTACAGCTGATTCATAAATCTACTGGATTCCTTCAAACAACCAGGGTTATGCAGATAACACTGTGTGGTGACTCTAACAAGGTGCAGTGGGAAGAATTAGCTACCCAAATCCAACTCAAACCAGTGTACAGAGTGATACCCACCCAATGATTCCAATGTATGACAGCCCCATGAAAGACTAAACGGCATACATAATTTCAGCTGGCCAATTTTATACTAATTTTGCCTTTAAAAATTAATAAACAGAATGCAATTCAATACATTTGGAGAAGATTTTGAATCCAGCATTGATTGGCAAGGAAGCATAAATATTTGAATGACACCCAATGCATTATATAATGCTGAAAGAAAATTCATCTATGAACAGATCACTTGAGGCCCAATTCATAGAACGTCACAATAAATATTTAGCAATCAAAATGTTTTGCATGGATGTTTATAAGGAAAACGGATGTTTGTATATTGTAAAAAACATGAAGTGACTTTTTCCTGTTCACCTTTCTTTGACAAGATGCACTTAAAATAACCAGTTAAGACACACTTAAAATAACCAGTTAACAAAGTCAGGAATACACCACAGAGAACTCATGCCCTCTGTCTATGACAGCTGAAGGCTATTTCTCTAGGAAATAGATGCTTTTTCCCTTTTTTTGTTTTTTGCTATTAGGGGAAAAAGATGTCAAACTTCTTCCACATCATTCTATACCTTTTATCATAAACACAATCCAAAGTAAGATTCAAGGAAAACCTTTGGAAACAACATGCTTTGGTGCTTATCATTGAATGGGAAATTCATTTGACATGCAACTTCTTAGAAAAATGGGAAGTTTACACATTTTGATTTGCTCGTAACGAAGCCCTGAGGTAATCAACAGAACAGGGTTTTTTCAGGTAACAGTTACACAGTTTCCCTTTACTTTAGTCTTTTTTCTTTTTGAACTTTCTGTGGCATATATAATGTAGACCAGTCTACACAACCCATCTTAAAGAAAGGACCAGTTCTGTTGATGATTTAGGGGTAGGACTTTTTAGGCTAAGCTCTCAGCAGAGTGGGCTAGTTTAGACACAGTCTCTTCTGTTTCAATTGAATTTCCTAGGTCTCCATTTTCATGACTGTCAATACTTGCTTTCTTATCAAACACTGCCAAAGAGAAAAGATACTATGATTAGTTGTAGAATCTTACGATTTACAAACTTAGAGGCACATCCCACATTCTTGCTGGGTGAAGCACAATCATTCCTAAAAATCTGGGAATGGGGGTAAATATACAGAAAGAGCCAAAAACAAGGCTTCTAATCATTTATTTTTACATAAATTACCACAAGCCAACTACAAGTTCACCTACATAGAATAAAGCAAAGATCACCATCTGCCAAGTTCTAGTGAGGCAAAATCAAAATCAGAATCTGCTTTATCAACCTACAGGAAAACATGGCAATATTCTGGCAAAAGAGCAGAGGAAAGCTTAAAATGGCCACCCAACCCTAAATATATCAGCCATTCTATTTGCCAAGAACATGCTTGGTGATACTGAAATGATACCATGAGTAGTGATCCTTTCCATCTTAAGTACATTGGAAAAGCCAAGTCAAGGACGGCACTGCAAGATGCATTTCAAAAAGTAAAATTTACTAAAATTCAAGCGTGAAACAAGACTAATTAAATGATGTACAAAGCCTTTATATGAAGTATAACTTGAATGTTTATCTTAATTGCATTTTTAAATGTTTTACCTTGCATTGGCTTGACATCTCCACTTCCGTCTTTTCTATTAGAAACAGAATTTCCACCTTCCTCCAATTCATCAAGATACAGACGATAACGATGTCCACTCTCATCCTCATACTCTACATTTTCATCATCAGAGTCTACTTCTGGAGCAACATACACAACTTCAAATTCAATTTCCCCTCTCTGGAATAGAAAATTAGTATCATGTTCTTTCTAAGAATAAACCATCCAAGAAAGAGAGAAAATTCGGACTTGAATGATAACTATAAAATTGTAATAAAGTATATTCTATTTATACCAGTACAAAACCAAACATGACTGTTTACATTGTACCAAAGCAGCCACAAGGCAGGCCACTTCAGGGAGAGTGACTTGTCATCAGCTCCATAAGAGTTTTCTCATTTGCCACCCTGCAGCTTCCCTTCATCTCATCCACGCCTCCTCTTTTGCTGCACAACAGTTTAAGTGTAAACACATTGAGCAATGAGTGTTGAGCGTAATGAGTCATTAAAGTACATGACAGATTAGTAAAGAAATATTAACATAAAATAAAAGCTGGACTGAAGTACATGTCTTTTAGAATATGCCTATTTAACGTATTAGCTAATAGAATCTTTGCTGAAATAAGAAAACTTGGAAAGTTGGCTTTCTCTGACCATAAATTAAGACCTAAAATGCACAGACTATGCCCAGCTTTAGTTTCTGTTTTGTACAATGCAGTAAGCTTTATATGTGAACCTGAAAAACCTTCTCGGTTTCATCATTAGTCTAGATGTTATGCTCTGTACTTGGAACTCTGTAGAATTCTTTTATGAGAGGGAAGCTGTATTTGTTATTGGAAAGTTTTCATATGCAAGATATGACAGGCCTTATTTTGCAGGCAAAATAAATAAATATGTATAAATATGGTATTTTAGAAAATGTTAATAAGGAAAGTTTGAGAAACTCCAACTATTATCTAACAAGATTTTTGCCTGTAAAAATAGACCAAGGCCTTCACTTAGAAGGCCTGTTGTATCTTGCATATGATAACTTTCCAATAGCAAATAAAGCTTCCCTCTCATAAGGGATGCACCACCCAAAAGAATATGGAAAAAGCAACCAGAAGCATGTTCATATATTAACAGTCCAGCATTAATGAATTAAAATACCTGCTGGGAAAGAATAGTTACAGCTTCTTTATGTTTGGCATCTCTCAAATTAACTCCATTTACTGCCAAAATGGCATCTCCAACGTGTAGACCACCACATCTATCGGCAGGCTGACCTGGGTGAATTTCGGAGATTAGGATGGGAACACCATGCTCCTTTCCACCCTACAGCAAAAATATTTAACAATTAGGAAGTTCCAAAATAGTCTATTGCCTAACATTGTAGATGCTTTTACTATAACATTTTTTAAAAATTGAATTCATGCAATTATCCAAGAAACAGGAAGATAAACGATTTTTCATTCTATAAATGTTACACATAGTGCAGTTTGTAAATTATTTACAGCGGAGTAGTCACAGAAATGTCATGAAAGATCTAAGTACTTTCAGTGGCTTTTGTAACAGTATAAGAAACATAGATAACATGGGCCAGTGTGACACACACTATGCAAAAGAAAATGTAAACAGCTTGTCAGCATACAGTGGCTGCATTCATGCATAATGCTAAACCTGACATGTGCTCATCTTACTGCACAGTACCCTACCTTGGATCCTGGGTTCAGACAGGCATTTGATTTCCATGCATGAGTGGTTTTCACCCTTCTCCATCTTTCCTCCAAATGAAGCTGCTGTCCCATGAGCACTTGCAGCTGCAAATCTTTCCCGGCACAGGCTGCTCCCGCCTGCATCACTTGCCTCTCCCTCACTGGCCCGCATGCTCCCCTACGCATGGCCTCAGCCAGCTGGCACTGGAGATTTTTTCTGCTGCTTAGTGAAGCGATTGCCAAATCACTAGAGTTCTGCTGTCACACTCCCTGCTACTACCTTGTTCTGTGTCAACATGCAAGCACACCCACCCGCATCTTTTCCCCCTCACACTGCAAACATGTACACAAACACCCATGCACAAGATTTGCACATGCTGCTAGGGGCTGCCCCCTGCCCCCTGCAGCAGGCACACAGAAGGCATCAGCATATGCAGCACCTGTGCAAGGGACAGAGGGAGTGTGCCAAGGGAGCGCATGTAGGCATCTACCTAGGAATATTTTCTGGCTGGCTGTTTGAACATAAAGCGGTGAAGGTCCGGAATGCAGGGGACCACATAAAACAAACAACAGTGAAGTGTAGAAACCATACAATAAGCCTTTGTTTCTCTGCACAGTCAACAAAAACCATCCTTACCAAGTTCACCATGGTTCCTGGGTTCAGACATAACAGAAAGCCATACCACACAAGGTTTCCACCGTGGCTTGTTCATTATGTCTGAAGTTGGCCAACAACAACAACAACAATAATAATGATGTCAGAAGTTGGTCAGTTCATATGATGAAAATAAGCCATGGTAGAGTATTTATTTATGCCACAGTGGTCTATTTAAATCACTGTGCATATTGGCCAAATGTTCAGTACTCACCACCAGGCACAGCTTGTCAGGTCAACCGAACTTAGATGGCATGGTTTGTTGGAGGGGGGAAATAACCCTCCGGTAACCCTAGAACATCCCAAGGATTATTAGAGGTTTGTTTCCCTCTCCAATATACCATGCTGCCTGGGTTCAGACAACAAGCTGTGCCTGGGCAGTAATGAAGGAAATGTGCTGCAATTTAAATAAGCCATTGGAATTTTGAAAAACAGTGGTTTACTTTGATCGTGTGAACTTGGTCAATTAATCCTGGGAACAGAAAAATAAATTCAAATATTACCGTTATTGAAATGCCCAATCCTTCATGATCTTCTTTCACCAAAAGCACTTTTCTGATTGGACCAACACCTTGACTTTTCTTCAAGGAATCTGGATTCTAGTTTTTAAAAAATTATACATGATTTTGAAAACATTTCTTAACATTTTCAAAAGAGTCACAGGACAGCGAATAAGAGTTACTATAGCACTGCTGGAACTCTTTTCTGACATGATTTTATCTGGATCTGCCCACACCCAAGATTTTTTATTAAGAGTTTTAGAAAGCACCTTATCACTAATAACCATGAATCCAAGCGAAATACTTTATCTCAAAATAAAGAACTGGGCAAGGTCTGTCCACCATAAGAAATCACCATGGACATTACTTATTCTTAATAAATACATGTGCACATCATTTCTACCCAAGGCTCTAGTTGTTGCAGTAAAGGTTTGTACTGCAGCTGCAAGGGCTTCAAGATAAGCAGTACTAAACAGGTCTGTTGCACTAAAAACAAAGAAAAAAGCTTGCTACAGTAGCCACAAGGCTGTTCTGAGACAAGCAATTCTAGCTACTTTTCAGATGGAGTATGAGAGGCTGGCAGTGGTCCCACCATCATCTCCCCTTACAAGAGAACCCCTGCAATGGCATACCAATAGGAAATTTTGTAAGTAACTTTGGGAGCTTGATTTCAGAAATAGGTAGGTTACAGATAAATTTAACAAATGTAAGGTGCCTTTGTATTGGCACTAGGAGTTCTAAGAGGAATCCTATACTCCAGCACCATAGCACAGGAACTTTCAGATTCAGGATCCTAGAAAGGTTTTGTATATTGTGAAGAAGACAAGACCACTAGACTGGATGGACTCCCCATCTCTGCTCAGCCATAAAGTTCACTGGTAACTTTAGTTTGGACACTATATCTCTGCTTAGCCTACTCCACAAGGTTATTGTGAGCATAAAATGGAAGAGAGAACCAGCTTAATCTATTGGAAGGTATAGAAGAGATGATGATGATGGTGATGATAGGTGATAAATGTATAATGCCATTTTCAGAATATGTTGCACTCAAAAAGTTTAAAGTAAGATGCCTAATTAATATTTTGACATCTATAAAATGAGACTGTTACAGGAAGTAACCTATTTTGAAGAGACGGCAATTACTCTGAATGTTCAGGGAAGCTGACAGATAATGTATAAGCTTGGCAGCTTTCATCGTTGAATACCTTTTATTTAAGTCACTTAATTTAAGGATTCATCTATTCTATACTCCAACAGAGACTATCAATTATTCCTCAGGTTCTAAATATGTACATCAACTTTTCAGCAGCTTAAAGCATGAGTGTTGTATTGGCCTGGGAACAAAAAGAAGTATGCAGACTTTATACTCATTGTAATAAAAATACTGCAATTTAACTTAGAAGGAATGATTTTGGCTAAACTACTCCAAACCAAAGAAGAATATCCCTGAATTGAAAGGGATGTATGACTACATTCAGTATAGCTTTCTAAGGTACAAACTGTTTGTTGACAAGTGCTCACATGTCCTGGGGGTGCTTGCATGGGTCGCTTTAGGTCATTGCGACCCCGACATGCTCTTATCACAGTTTTGTGTCGGTGCAGATGGATTTCAGCTTCTAGCTGGTTCCAGAGTTTATCGTGTGCAGGTCCTTTCATATCTCTGCCTAGCAATTGAATTTGCTGAACCCTGCAAAATAATAAAAGAACATAATACATATGAACTTGAAAGCTGCACAACTCTTTTGCTTTCTTGGTCCTGTATTCTCAAAGGCCTTTAAAGTGCAACTGCAGCTGAAGTCATTACACTAGTAGTAGCAAGAAAATCATACAATATTCTTCCACAGCTTTCCCTTATGTAAAGGTCCCATCCCCTTAGAGACACCCTTGTACATTATGGTCATCTTCTCCCACCAGTGGTGGTTTTTAGAGCAATTTCAATATATATTCTACACTGTAAAGCAAGGTAAGGCATGTTTTAAGCCGTATACATCTATTCTGATTCAAAATTCCATTAAAAGTGACTGATTTTAATTTCATTTTACACACCTTCCTGCTAGCTCTTTATCTAAATATTTGGCTGCAAGTCTTGCTCCATACACTTCTGCCTGGAGTACAGCTATGTGTCGACGAAGCGCCTCATTCTCCTTCCTAAGCAACTTCACTTCAGCTTCAAGTTGAGCTTCTTTCACTTTTTCTTTTTTGTTGGCTTCAAGTTCTCTCTCCTAGCAAATTAAAAGTCTTGTTAGCTTAGTCACAAGCCTAGAAAGCAGACATGAAAACTGCAAACATATCACTGATTCCTTACTCTCACAGAAAAAGTCATAAAACATAACTGTAGTCTTATTTCATGCTAACTTTTCTGCATCAGAAATACTTAGCTTGGGAAGATATGCATTTACAAAACAGTCCTGCAAATGCGCACATAAACAAAAAAAAAAAAACCACACAAAAATGTTTTTTGTACAAGATGTACAAGTACCTACATCTCTTTCTGTATTGCAATTTATGTTGCAAGCCTGGAAAGCTTCTTGTTCAGAAGGAGATAGCTACTTGCAAGTTATAATCCTGTGAAATTATTCTGGTAAGACAGCATTTGATTGAGTATAATACAACATCATATTAATTATTGAAAGTACACTAAATAATACTAGATAAGCAATCAGATGGTTAAAAAAAGTGAACAGAAAAACAGTTATATATTTTTATAGCTATAATAAGCATTAAAATACAGTTTGTTTTTCCTTCACTTTTTTCACACAGAAAAATATCCAGTGTACTTAATCCAGAATTGTAAACATCTTTCTTAACTCATTTGCCAGAGGAAAGAAATGTCAAAGAAAGACTTAAGAATTTAGAATTAAAAGGTAACAACACAAGGAGACAAAGCATGAGAGTGCTTTTATAAGATATTAATGGAAGACAAAAAATAGAGATCATCTAGACTTTGGCTCACAAGAAGCAGCAATGGATTTTTTCCTTTTCAAACAGATACATGGTAGCAGATCTTAACTACACACAATCAAGCATTTCATATGTAAAAGGAAAGACTCCATAGATTTTAACCAAATCTGATTGTTTATATTCAAGTAATATTTGTAAGCACCTATATTTTTGGTTTTAACTTTAAATATTCTTTTTTTGATTGTTGTTTTGTGATTTTTAACTTCTGTGCACTGCCTTGGGATGATTTACCCTAAAAGGTAGCTAATACATTATTGGAATAAATAATCTGAAAATAAGAAATTATAGGATTTAAGTTCTTGCATGAACTATTTTGGCTTGGAATTTCTGCAGGTCAATCAAGGCATCCAGAACTAATATATAACATTGAGCAACTGGCTTTAGACATACACTACTAAGGGTCTGCTAGGAAGAAACGCTACCTATTGTACTATCAAATAACAGTACACAAAGAAGTTTTAAACATTCTTCACACAATGTATAAGAAAACTTACAATGCTGTGATGCTGAACAAAAATAAGAAAGCTATTTTAGGATACTACTTCAGCTTGCACAACTGCCTAGATTTTGAACAGCTAACTGCTATATCATAACTATATATTTTCAAAGCTTGAGTGCATTTTGGAGTTAGTTGCCTGTATTTCTTGATAGTGACCATAGTTGATTTTTACTATCCTGTAACATTTAGATCCAATTCTGTCACTTCTACATTCACAAGTTAGTCATAGCAATTAACAGAAGCAATAAAGTCATGCATGTCAGCTGGAAAAAAAGCATTAAATCCAATAGAAACACTGAACAGGCACAAATACTTGGCTAAAAAAACTAAGGAAAGGAAATAATCTAGCTAAAATTCACTGGCATAGAACACTCAGGCCAAACTGTGCAACTTTATATAGATCTACTATGCTGTTTTGAATTTATACACAGGTAAAGGGAGCCAGTGAACTTACCATGTCTTCCACAGAAGGGGCAGACTTAGGACAGGAGAAAAAAAGTTTCATGATTAGAAATACTGACACAAATATTTTAACAGGCCGTGCATTAGGTGAAGGTACAGTAATCTGCCACATCTGGCTGTGTGAGAAACAGCTGATACCTTGGAATTTAGCTAATATACTAACTTCGCTAGATAGATGAAGTGGTAACTATTACTGAACCAACACCTAGAAAGCTATTATCCAGCTGTTCAGTACTTATATCCCTGCAATAAAATTTTATCTAAACAATTCAAATAAGAAATGTAAAAATCATATTTTCAGTCTTCATGTTTGCTAAGAAATGAGATCCACTTACTAGACATACAGTGAAACCCTATATATGTCTACTTAGAAGTATGTGCCAATGAGTTCAGTGCAACTTTCCCATACAAGCGGGGACAGGATTGAAACTTTAGTCTCTTTCTAGACTTACTGTTTCTTATTTTGTTATTTAGATTGCAGGTAAGTAAAAGCACAAAAATATTCATAAAAACCAGAGATGGGGAAAGCCTTTGAGACGCTTTTTGAACAGGCTTGGAATTTTGAGTTGTCCCCCCCCCTTTTTTTTTCCAAAAAAGACTATGGAAAACCCAAGCAAATATTTCCAGGCCAGTTTTGAGGGCTTGGAAAATACTGCCCCAGTTTTCATGCTTCTCCAGTCCCCAAACACAGTTCCCCCAGCACAGAAGAGGCAAGAGAATCTCTCCCTTTGATGTTTCATCATGCTATCAGCCACATCATACAGAACAGACTGGTGAACAGGTGAAAAAGCTTCCATTGCTTTGCTTCAGGACTGCTGCCAAGTAAAGGGATGACAAAGGAGATGGGGTTTGGAGGGCTGGAACAGGAATTCCTCTGCTGCTCACATTTTAACCTGAGCAGTAAAAATAATCCAGACTTCGAAAACATTCCTCTCTTTTTCCTGTCCCCTTAATTTCTTCTCCAAGACCTTAGAGATTTTTCAAGCATCCCTAATAAATTTCTATGTCTTTCCTATACTATTATACAACAAAGGATATACGGATACTGTAAAACATTGTTGCTTTTGATATATCAGTAGTAACTTCCTTGAAATCAAAGTTACTGTTAAAGTTCCCCATTTATTTATATTTTTACTACCCAATAATGAAAGTTCTCTGGGCAGTTAGCAAAAGTTAAAAAAAATTACACAGAGAAACACATATAAGATATTATGCATACTGAATGTAAGTTGTGAAATTCCATGCATCTTTCATCTCTACATAGTTGCTTTAACAGTTTCATAATAAATAAAGCAGACAAACCATATGAGGGGTGTGTGTGATACTGCATGTCCTAAATGCTAGAATGGAAAGGTGGAAGACACTTTCTATGAACACATCAGATTATAAATTCTACAGTAAAAATGCAAATTTTCTTTTTAACAAGTATACTTACCAATTTTGCCTTTATTGCCCCTGAATCAACATTCTGACCAGTTTTGGCATGGAGCTGAAGCTGAATAGCATGGAGTTGCAGTAGCTGATCATGTACCTCTTTTTCTAACACTGCTTTTTCAGCTCGCGTTTCTGTCAGTTCTGATTTAAGATCCACTAGCTGCGCCTGGAAGATATAACATTGTTCAATAACCTACATGATGAAATAGGAAAAATTGACCTTTATTACACTATTTCATGCTGTTCAAATATATCTAAAATTACCAATATCCATTATGCAACCCTTAGACTGAAGACTTAAGTTATGAAAGGATATTTACTTCATCTTAATTTATTTCAATTATGTGCATAAGGATGCTATAGATATGAAAGAAATTGACCTCCTATGCTTATTATAAATCATGTTCTCAAGAACCATTCAGAAACATCTGCAAAAGCAGTATATTGCATACTGGAAGAGAAAAGAATGTTTGCTTATGTTCCAAACAAGTTTAGCAAATCATAACAGTCAGGACAGTATTCTGAAGTTATGAACAGTTACAGTTTTATCATAACCTCCAACCAAGGTAATAAACTTCATTAATGACAAACCTCTTTCTGGGAATTCAGTTTAGGATTCTTCTGTGTAAAATGTAAATTGCTTGATAGCAGAGTCCTTGGTATAGCCTGCTGTATGTATATATTTACAAAGCCTCAATATTCAGTTGGATCTTAGTATAAGGCTTACAGCCTTAAATCTTTTATTCCATCTTATTTTGATTGGTTACTTTTAAAATATGTTTCTGGAGATGTTATGATTTTGCTCTTTGTATGACAATTCATAGATACTACCTTGTTTGCTTATTCTGTTTCAGACTACAGAACTGTGGAGATTTGCCCTACTCCTTACTACACTTTTGGAAAGACTGGAAGTATGTATTGTCCTCTACTGTAACTTGTTATCAATGTTTGTGTTACTGAGGTAGATGGAAACACTTACCTTCAATTACACTGTGGAATGTTAAACTGGAGCACAAAACATTTATAATTTATCACTAAAAGAGAGACAAAAGGCCTACCACAGTCCAAACAATGGCCATGAGTTATAATTTATGACCACTATTTTCTTTTATGTTGACTACTCTTCTGCAGCTGTAAGTGTTTAGAGAAGACACTCCTACAACTATAAAGAAGAATGCCTGAGCAAGAATTGCTGTTATAATTGCTATCTTAGACAAACACATAGTCTGAATATATGATTAACTAACAGGAAGTCAAAAATGCTATGCAATTTACTTGTTACTTCCAATTGATTTTCTCTCAGCTAAATATGAAAAAGGTTCCCAGCTCTTATATTCCTCATTAAAGAAATCATAGATGGAAGACAATTATTTATTTTAAAATTGTATTTTATTTAAAATATTGGCATGCATTATAACACAAAGGTTTCCAAGGCAACCATATGGATTGCCAGAGAGACTGCTCTTAGTGTTTTTAAAAGTATTCAGTCACTGAATGGAAATCAGAGATTAGATTTGGCCATTAGCTGGCTCCTGTAGAAAATATAGTTGAAATTCATTGTAAGCTTTATTGTGTATTAGCATTGGCATACTGCTGAATACCTGCTCTGAAGTCAACTTAAAAATCCCTAGACTTCAAACAAGTTTTGCAGCAGAATAAGATGGATTTGATTTAAATCACTAGTAAGACTAGATTTAAATCATAGTTTTCTACATAATTCTGAGGCATGCCTGTGTTTCCCATAGGTAGAAGAACTTCATTAAAATATTCCTAGACTGGGTCTCTTTTAAAGTCTGCAACCATTATAGGTTTTCTCCTTGAGAGAAAGAATATGATAAACCTGAGGCTATTCAGAGAAAATCCAAAGACCTGGGAAGTATTCTGCTCAAAACGTTTCACTTTCCTTTTACTGCTTGCCCCTTCCTCCTCTTGTGCAGATATATTCCACTCTCCACAATCTTCTTCTACTCATTTAATTTTTTGAAACTTGGCACTTAAAAGGTAAGGGGTTGATTCTGTGTACATAGATTTACAAAGGAACAATGAGATAAAGGTTTTTTTCTCAACTCTGTATGTTTATAATACTTTTGCTGTGAAGAAGAGGCATGTGATGTCTGCAGACATAAATTCACAATTCTGAGAACTGTAAAACCAAGCATCTGTGATAATACCTTCTAGACAGAAAAATTGCCCAATAATCTTACAGAAACCTCTGAAGCATGATATTGTGAATAGTTTAATAGAGTACATTTACCAAAAAAAATTAAACAATGTATGAGTATACAGCCTCATGCTCCATAATTAAAAACTAATTCTTATTTCATGATGAATAACCTTTGGATTATAATGTATCTTAAATAAAAAACTATTTTAGATAGATTTTTCCTCAAGCATTTTATTAAAAAAATCAATTTAAACTAAAAAAAATTAAAATTTAAAAATCCAACAAATCAAAGAAATCCAATTTAAATTTTAAAAATGCAATTTTTTTTTTTTGGAAAATCATTGATTTTATTCACAGAATGCTCCCATATTTTCCAGGTGCAAATAAGTCTTAGTTAGGTTTTTTAACTATATACTTGGATAAACTGCTTTGGATGGCACTGGCCATGGTGACTGAGGTTAATGGAAATGGTTGTCTGACACAACTTGACACAAAAGGTTTGGTATGACTGCCATATTATCATCAGTACTGTCATACAGATTCAAAGTGCTAACATTAATATTTAAAGCCCTGAACATTTGGGAGAAGGTTATCTGAAGAAACATCTCCTTCCGTATACATAATAAATAAATGAGCCTACTTGAACCCTGAGATCATCACTGGAGGTCCTCCTGAGAGACTCCTCCACAGAAAGCAAGGAAGGTGGCTACTGTGGGAAGAGCCTTCTCAGTTGTGGCACCCCATTTGTAAAATCAGTTCCCCAAAGAGGGGCACCTGGCACCCACTGTGTTTTATATTAGTTATTGCAATTTTGATGTAAACCACCCACGGAGCCTTTGGGCTGATCAGCAGGGGAGGAATATAATAAAATATTATATTATATTGTATTATATTGTATTATATTATATCATGTTTTTCAACAGAATTTTAGCACTATGCCAATGTGAAAATGTCTCAGCTTATCACTGCAGCACAAGTAGCACTAATAAGTGAGGCTCATCTGTCACTTAATCTTTTTGGCATCAAGTGATGAACTCATTTTCCCAGGCATTTTGGTCTTTCAGTTTCTGTCATTTTAAATCTGTTAGTTTATTTGAAATCTTTGCACTACTTTTAGTTTTCATTTGGTTATTATTTTATTTTATACTGACATTTTAAACGATATAGTGCATTTTATCATGCTGTGTTTTCTTGTTGAAAATTATGATGAATGGCCCAAAGGCTCCAGCTACTGGTCAGTATGAAAATAAAATGGAATGAATGAATGAATGAAATGGTGCAAAATCACTATAGACAATGGAGAAGATTATCTCACACACTCTCTCTTAATTCTCAATCAATTTATTTACTCTTACATATCAATTACTCCCATCAGGGTCCCATCAAAGTATAATTAGGGGGGAAACCATCTTATTTAACCTTCATAAATGTCAACTAAAAATTATTACTCTATGGTTCTATGATTTTCAAATTCTCTACCCCAACTGTTTACAGATATACATTAGAGAAATTAAGCCTAACTCCACATTAAAAGGATCTGAACTAGCCATGACTATCCAAGAACTATCTTAGGGTTCTGATAATGTAAATTCAATGAGTAATGACAGTAAGAACTTAAGTTTGCTATCAGGAATTATTCAGAAAGGAATTAAAAATAAACTGCCTAATGATGATATTGGCTGGAAATGAAGGGAGTTAATTATAACACCCTGGAGAGCACCAACTTAGGGAAGGCAGAACTGAAAGCATTCAATGCTTTTTGGAGACATTAGGAAGATGTATAATGTAATGAACAGAACAGAAAGTGAGACTTTTTTTACCCCACTCTTAATACTATAATTTATTAGCATCCAATGAAATTGATTGGAAATAGGTTCAGGGCACTCAAAAGAAACATAGTTCTTCAAATAACATTATTCTTAGCGTATGGAATTCACCACCAGATGTAGTTGTGGCCCCTTTAAAGAATTACAAATTTATCAAAGACAGACATATCTAGCTATTACAATTAAATGGTCAGTTTTCAGGAATAACCCAGCTTACCATAGGGTATTTTACCCATGAAGAGCCATGGTGTGTACCATGTGACATTCTGAATATACAACACCACCTGGGGTTCTTTATTACACACTGAAGATTGTTTGACCCTCAAATAACCCTTGATGGCCAGGTCTGCACAATGACTTCTCCTGAGTATGGGTTGCATATTCAGTCTTGCCAAAATGAGCTCATCATGGTTTAAATAAGCCCCAATTAGCCCACTCCATCATACAACCCAGGTCACTAAAATCTTCATGATCAGAGGTAGGTTAGCTCTGAATAGCAGATGCTAAAAACAAACAACTATGCATCCTAGCAAGGTATGGAATGTACTCCTTGTTAGTGCAGGGCAGCACCTAACCCTGTTGAGCCCAGGTATTACCCCATACAAACTGAGATATTCAAGCGTGATCTAGGCTGTGCACTGGAGAAGACTGGCCATGGTAGACAAAAGCATTCCTTCTAAATTTTCTCACCACCTTCCCTGAGAACCTATGAAAATTCCTCAATTTCTTAGAAGCCCAGGGGCACAGTTTGAAAACAACCATCTTAGGCCTTTTGAAATTCTTATAAAGTATGTGTGCAGTTCATACTCCTGTAGCAGGACAGCAAGCCATCTTTCCACAAGGTAGTATTCTGTGGTGGGTATATCACATTTTCCTGGCACACAATGCACAATAACTGGGAAAACACAGATTTCACACAGTCACAACTGACTCTTACTGACTGTTCAGCCAATACCAGTAAGTGATCAAATTCCTGCCTATTCTATTTTGTTATATTTTCATCTCATACTATGCTATTCAAACCTGAGAGCACTAATATTGTCCCTGAAAGGGATTAGAGGTAAACACCTGACACGTACAAACCTTTTTTCCTTACAGGTATGTTTCATACACCTTTCAGGCTTATTAACATTTCATTCTCAAAAGAATTTATTTTTCTTGCAAAAATCATTTCCTTCTCTACACTGATTTTGCATACACTTCCCTGGTTCATTTTATTGTGGTGAACCAAAACCCCCACCCTGTGACAAGACTAATCCATTCTGCAGGAAAGAGACATCTTGGCTCTTGTAGGTAGATAAACCATTCCACAAATATAGTGCTATGGGATGACTTCAATAGGGAGGGGCATCCCCACTGCCTATAGCTGACTATAGTAAATGGATTATTAAAAACTACTTCAGTGTTTAATCACTTGTATATGCTTGTAGAAAAGTGAACACTAGAGACAGATGACAGCCTATACCAGTCTTGTTATCACAACTACATTCTCAAGCCACACATGTTCACCATGTTGCTCTGAATACTGCAAAAAGAAAGTCCTTTTTTGCAACTTAAGCTTGCTATGAAACAAAATATTAAATCTATGTATCAAAATTTATCAAAATTCTATGATGGCACCCCCGCCCCTTGGAGTGAGACCACAACATAGTCCAGCTGTGTTAGCTGCCTCTAATCCAAACTGCCCACCCTCACTAAACTGGAAAGAGCTTAAGGGTGCTTCCAGGGACCTAGACAATGATGTCTTCAACTGGAAACTCTGGTTTTGTTGACATAACAGTCCATCATGGCTTGATTAGCCCTCGAATAGTTGATGTGTTGTCTGAACTGGCACATGGGTTAACAGTGCACAACAGTAAGGCATCCCACTTTGTCAGAATGTGAAGCTATTAAGATATGGGCTCTATTACATGTGCACTATATCAGTAAACAACTATGAATCCTATATAATTCCTTCAACATTAGTATGTAAATTAGTACACAAATTAGGACAACCAATGAAGGTGTGCTCTGTCCTATGAGCTAATCCCAACACTTCACTCTTAATGATTTTATATCTAAGACTCTTTAGACCTAATTGGTTTTGTTTTTCCTCTAGAGAGTTCTTGGGAAATTATTTTGGTGAAATATGAAGATTATATGAAGAAATAAAACCATCAAACTATTTTTTTTCTTCACCAAACTACAATTCTGAAATTGTGGATCATTAGGACTTAGGACTACATATACTGAACCATCTACATATACTTACCATCACTGGATGACTGTAATCCACCCTTCATCCTTTTTTCAATATGATGATACCTATGCCTGCTACAACTTATTATAGGTGTATGATTATGATTGTTTGCTTGTTGTTTGTGACCTCCATCTTGTCTATAATTGTACTTATAATTTGGACTTAGTAGTACAAAACTGTAAAGTTATGATAGGGGTTTTTTAGTACATATAGTATTTTAGGACATTAACACTTTGCTTTCTGTGTTGATACAGCATCTTCTACAGTATATTTCAATGATTCTAATAGTATAGACTAGTTTTTGGATGATCAATGCAATTACTGCAGTAACACTGACAGTTACACAAAGCATGCAGCTAGAATAAAAATGTAAAATTGGAACAGTGGTATTTCATCATTTAGTCTTTTGAAATGCATCTGTTATTTTTGTAAGAAAGCCAGTTTTTATTTTAGCATCAGATGGGTGAAGAACCAAGAATAACCTAACTCAGATCTTACACTTTAAGGTGGTCACCAATGTCAACATTTGAAAATAAGCTCAGTATTGTAGAGATGCTTCACCATCAGGGATGCCTTATTACATGTGCAAAGGGATGCTCCTAGAAAGTTAAATCAAATTCCATAAATAAGTCCATTTTACTTAATTTTTTTTGTTTAAAGACAAGGAAGATGAAAATAACAAATTATTTTCTTATTGTTTTCCACAGATTGCAATCACATACTTCTAATTTGCTCCTATTGTGTATACAAAGGAGAAAGAGAGAATGCATGAACAGAGAACTGACACTGTTCTACGCATAAATCATTCTTGACACTGCACTACACAAGAGTGCATTCATACATGACAAACCTATTCCTCAGCAAGGATTCACTATGCTGTGAATGTGTAGTGTATATAGATGGTTTTAGAGGCAGATTTTTAATTGTACTACATAAAAGTGAAGCTTTCAAGAAATCACACCAGGCTTTGAAACTCTGGGAGGAAAGTCAAGCACCTTGCAGCTGAAATGGTTTTCTTTTCAATCCTTCCAATTCTTGAATGAGGAACAGACAGGGAAAAACAAATAATCCAGGTGAATGCTGGGCTACGAAAATGGACCCAACATGAGAGGTATGGATTGTGGGACCACAGGCTACACATTCTGGAAGCTGGACTGCTGGCAAGGAATGGACTGCACCCTACATGTGAAGTGTTTGTTGCCCTGTATTGCTTAGGATTCATCTGGAGCACTGCGTTCAGTTCTGGGCACCACAGATACAGAAAGATGCAGACAAGCTGCAAAGGGTTCAGAGGAGGGTAACAAGGAAGATCTGGGGACTTGAAACAAAGTCCTGTGAGGAGAGCTTGAAAGAACTGGGTATATTTAGCCTCAGGAGAAGTCTGAAGGGATACTCTTGTACTTGAAAGGCTGTCACAGAGAGGAAGGCCAGGATCTTTTTCCCAATCATCAGAGAGTGTAGGACATGGAATAACAGGCTCAAGTTAAAAGAAACCAGATTTAGACTAGACACTGGGAAGAATTTCTTCTCTGACAAAGCAGTACAACAATGGAACCCATTATCTGGTGAAGTTGTGGGCTCTCCCTCATTAGAGACATTCAGAAAGAGTCTGGACAGTTGGGTAGTTTTTACATTGGCTATTTTTCCATGTTTCCCACATTTGTCTCAGTAAGTAGTGGCCTCACAGGACATCATGACAGGGCTGACCTATCACTGGCATTTAAAAAAATGCCCTACAAAGGGTAGTAAGAAACTACCTTTTACCTAATCAGACCATTTGTACATCAAACACAGTATAATCTACTTTGACAAACACTGGGCCTCAGGCAGAGGCTACTCCTATGATCTGCTACTCAGCATCAGTCAAAAGAAACTTTCAGCTGACGCCAGGTACAAAACATGGACCCTTCTGCAGATAAAGGCATGTATCCCACGGAAGTTTTGATTCATTTAGAGTTCTCCACTCAATCAGCACCAGGCAGACTTGCCTCACACCCAAACTGTTCAACCAACCTGAGAAACAGAACGCACCATTTATTCCCATTTCAGAGACAAGGAAATTGAGGGCGGTGGTGTTCCGCTTCCTCCTATGGCCTCTAAAGGAAGATGAGAAAAAAAGCTCCTCCTCCACGCGCCTTCTCACACACATGCAACACACGTAACACACCTTACCTCTTCCCCAGGCATCCCAGTCCCCGACCCCTCCTTCACTCCAGGGGACCCAGAGGGCCGGCGGCGAGCGATTCCTCTTTCCCCCACCCTCCAGCTTACCTCCAGCTTGTGGTTGATCTGGGAGACGGTCTGCGCCTTGTGGCAGAGCTGAGCAAAGCAGGAGCTCAAGCTGGTCATCTTCTGCCTGCCCTCATAGGTGATGTCCGCCTGGTCAGGGTCGATCTCACCCAGCAGCAAGTCCACGTCCACGAACGCCTTGTCGAACTCCTTCTCCAGCACCTCCAGCCAGCGGAACATCGACAGTCCGCCGCCGCCGCCGCCGGCTCCGCCAGGGGACGACGACGACGAAGCCGCCGCCGCCCCGCCATAGGCCCCAGAGCCCGACCCCCCGCAGGAGCCTACTCCCACGCCAGACATGGTGACCGGCTCGTCGGGCAGCCCCTCGCTCCTTGCCGAGGCCTGCGCCGCTAGCGCACCGGCGGGGGGCGCCCAACCCCCGTCGGCGCTCGCGGGACGCTCCCCTCCCCTCCCCGTCAGCGTCCGCGAGGCGCGGCGGGCGGCGTTGGCCGGGCCTCGAGGGGGGAGCGGCGGCGGCTGAGAGGCAATTTCTCCGAGGCGCATGCGCCAAAAGCCGCTTCGCGTCTGTCAGCGGATAGACCGAAAGCCCCTACCCAAAGATCGGCGGTCGGCTTGTTCGGCCTGCCACAACGGAGAACTGCTTGCCAAGTCGGCTGGGAGGATCCCCAGATCATCGATTGGTTAGTCCGTACAACTGCGCGGCTCTGTTTTCGTGAAGGCGGGAAGAGCTGCTGCTGGATGAGAATTTAATCCTATGCACAATTAGACAGAAAAATCGTCCTCGGGAACCCATCATTATCCAGCAAAGGGCAATCATCTGTATGCTTACACAGGCAGAAAGTCCGATAACTACCAACATTTTCTAGCCAGAATAACTTGATGGGGAATGTTGTTAGACTTTTTCTTCCCGTCTAAACAGGCACAGGTTTGCGCCCTAAAAATCCAACGTCTCACAGTGGTCAACCAGATACCTCTTGAGAAGCTCCCAAGCGCGAAGTCAAGTGGTATTCAGCAGTGCTTTTTTTAACGCATTAGGTTATGTTCAGAAGCAGGTTGAAGCAGGTGTGGGGAACGTCGCGCCGTTCAGATGTTGTTGGACGGCAACATTTGGAGAGCTGATCCCCACCTCTATGCTAAAGCTTCATAAAGGTGCGTGGGAACTGGTAAAGATCCCAGATCCCTTCTGTATTCTGGAGATCTTCCAGAATGTGCAACTCCTTCTTTCTGCCCTACTGTGAGGATAAAACAGGAATTGGACAAGGGGCATCTTGGTGTGGTGGGTGAGACCTCTTTAACTGGTGTAGAGAAACCCTCCGAAATTTGCTGCTTCGTCTTCAGAATGTGGTTTCAGAAACTCTTTTCTAAACACCTTTTTAACACAAGCAATTAAACACACACACACACTGGTTTCCTTCTACCAAGCAGGCTGAGAGATTACTTGATCATATCCTATGTTAGCCCTATTTAGAATAAACCCACTGAAATGAATGTAGTTTAAGTAAAACTAAAAGTAAGATACAGGTCGCTCGATCCCTTGTCTGCCAGCCATACATGCTGTTGTGAATAGTGTTTGTGAATACTGTAAAGTTGCTGAGAACTTCTGGAACCAGAGCCAGTCTTTCTTAGGACTCAGTCCTTACGCTATTAGACAAGGTGGCCTCATGCGGCCCCTGCTGCACCAATCCTATATCTACATTAAAGCTCTGTGGACATTACAGACCACTGAAGAACTTTAAAGTTATTTTAAAGTTAAATTTGATTCATACAATAAAAACAAACTGCCTTTGACCCATTGAGCACTCTGTAATACTAACATGGGCAAATTGTTATTGGGGGTGTCCCCTGAAAAGCACCCTATCTGGAGAGGGCAAAGAAGAGCTCCTAGATCCATCAAAGCTACCACCCTGGGCTCACTATGCCAGCAGGGCCAATGGATTCCCATGGCATTGTTTTGGGTGTTGTATTGGGTGGGTGTGCTTCTCATCTCCTGTTCCTTGATTCCATTTATGTGCCACAGGGTCAACATCCTAGTTGGATTCTTACGCATGGGGGTGTCTTTGAAGATGATCCAGGCATTCAAAATGGTTCAAAATAGGGCCACATGACTGTTACCAAGAATCAGTCCGTGGACCCATATTACACCAGTCTTCTACCATCTACACTGGCTACCAGGCTCAATTTTAAGTCCTTGTGCTTACATATAAAGCCCTAAACTGCTTGTGCCCTGGGTACCTGAAGGACCACCTTCTCCTGCACTGTATGTCCCTACCCATAAGATCAAATGAGGAGGTCCATCTTGAGAAGCCATCCCCCAGGGAAGTGAGAGGTATGGTGGCTAGAAGAAGGTCTTTTTTGGTAGTTGTGCCCCAACTCTTATTCAGGTTTTTATTTTATTTTAATTTTTTATTTTGTCCGTGTGTGTGTGTGGGGGGAGGGAGGGTTTGTCTGGGAGAACTGGGCGAGTGAAGAGTAGTGCAGTACAGACAAGGTGGGGAAACAAGTTAGGGTTTTAAGGGGTTCCCAAAGTCAGGCCAGGATATGGCCTTGGCGGGAATCACAGGTGTTGCTGTCCGCTACAACAGCTGGAACATGTTTGTCCTCCCTCAGGAGAGGCCAGGGATACACTTGCCCTCAGTGCAAGCTGGTGACTCTCCTAGAGAAGAAGGTGAGGTGTCTGAGGACTGAGAGAGCTCTCCAGGCCCCCCGGGAGCAGTCCCCCTCCAGACAGAGGGTTGAGAGAGGGGCCACAGGAGGAACAGCTGGGGAGACATGGAGGCATGTCACCCACAGGAGGAGGCGGCCAGCACGGCCTCCTTTTCCTCCTGGCATCGACCTGGAGCTGGGAAACAGGTTCTCTCTGCTTGAGGAGCCTGGGGCTGATAAGGCCTTAGGGGAACAGAAGGACCCCCGGTCTGGGACCACATGCGGCCAGAAGGCTGCTGCAGGAGAAGCAAGGGCTAGAGCATGGCCGTCTACCACCACTGGGAAGAGATGGCGGCAGGTGACCGTCGTTGGGGACTCCCTGCTGAGAGGCACTGAGGCAGCAGTGTGCCACCCTGACCTTGAGGCGAGGGAGGTCTGTTGCCTTCCAGGCACACACATCCGGCATGTGAAGGATAGAGTAGAGCATCTTGTTCACTCTGTGGGTCACCAGCCGCTTCTGGTGATCCATCTGGGGACAAATGACATAGCCAGGCAGGGTGTGGGCAGGATCACCAGGGACTTCAAGGCCTTGGGGAAGAAACTCAAGGACCTAAAGGCCCAAGTGACCTTCTCATCTATCTTACCAGTCTGAGGATTTGGGCCAGGCAGGGAAAGGAGTGACGCCGAGGTGAACGACTGGCTTAGGGTGTGGTGCCAGAAGGAATGCTTCGGGTTCCTTAACCATGGCACCCAGTTTCTTTCCAATGGACTTCTGGCAAGAGACAAGTTGCACCTCACGAGGATGGGAAAAGGTCCTTCAGAAATGCTCTAGTGAGCTTTGTCCGGAAAATTTTAAACTGAGCCAGGGGGGAGGGTCAGTTCCCCCAGAAACTTGTCCCCACTGGACAAGTGAGGGGAGAGGATCAGGGCTGTTGGACCAGGGTGTTAGAGGTACTGCAGGGGCTGACAGGACTCCTAGAAAGAGGGGAGCGGTATCAGGGAAGATGGGAGGAAGGAGGAGGCGGGGGATTCCAAAGAAAGGAATCTGTGGGAAGGAGTTGAGGTGCATGTACACCAATGCTAGGAGCATGGATAATAAGCAGGAAGAGCTTGAAGCTTTCCTGGGAATAGGTGGGGATCACAGAAACTTGGTAGGATGAAAGGCAAGACTGGAATGTGAACATAGAGGGGTATCACCTGTTTAGAAAGGATAGGAAGGGAAAGGGGGTGGGGGCGTAGCTTTATATGTCAGGGAAGGGATAGGATGCAGTGAGATAGAATGCAGTGCAGAAGGGGATCTGGTAGAGGCAGTTTGGGTGAAACTAAGGGGTTTTGACAGGGAGAGGGAACTAACAGTGGGGGTATGTTATCGCCCTCCAGGTCAACTTGAGACCCCGGATGATGTCCTGACAGATGAGATTCTAAGGCTATCTTGGGGGAGGAACACAGTAATTATGGGAGATTTCAATCTCCCGGATATTAGTTGGGAGACTCACTCAGTGGTGACAGCCAGGTCATGTAGCTTCCTAGATGTTATAGAGGGAGGACTTTTCAAGCAGAGGGTCCGAGAGGTGATGAGGGAGGGAAACATCCTTGACTTGGTCTTGACCAACAGGGAGGAACTGATAGATGAGGTGCAGATTAGGGGAGCTCTGGATGTGAGTGATCACTCCATCCTTTGCTTTGAGATCAGGGGAATAGGAACGTGCAGCAGGTTGAGCACTAGAAGCTGGGACTTCAAGAGGACCAACTTTGGCTAACAGAAGGCCAGACTGGGGAAAGTCTCCTGGGATAGTTTACTGGAAGGCAAGCAAGTTAAGGAGGGGTGGATGGCACCCAAAAGGGAGGTTTTGGAGGCGCAAGCCTTGACAATACCTCTAGTTAGTAAGGCGGGGAGGCGAAGGAGAGTGCTGCCATGGATGCAAAAGGAGGTGATTAGAGGAATTAGATGCAAAGGAACCTCCGTAGGAAATGGGTACTGGGGCAAAAAGACAAGGTGATACCGGGAGGAGGAGGCCTGTTGCAGAAAGATTCTTTGCAAGGCTAAGGCTAAGTATGAGCTGAGACTTGCAAAGAATATCAAGAGCAACAAAAAGGACTTCTTTCAGCAAGTAAATAGGAAGAGGAAGGGGAGACAAGTAGTGGGACCACTAAATAAGGAGGAAGGGAATCCAGTGACTGATGTGACAGAACAAGCACAGATGCTAAACGACTATTTTGCCTCTGTGTTCTTCCCAAAGCAGGATGGGGGAGAACCGCATGGGATATTAGATGAGGCCGGGGATTTAGGGGCACAGATTAGAGTCACCCCCCCTAGAAGTCGAGGGGCTCCTTAGGGCACTGGTCATTACAAAGGCACCGGGCCGAACGGGTTACACCCGAGAGTACTTCGAGAGTTGGCAGGGGTTCTCTCACATCTGCTGGCCTCCATTTTTGAGGCCTCGTGGAGAACGGGTGAAGTTCCAGAGGACTGGAGGGTGGTATCAGTGGTCCCAATTTTCAAAAAGGGTAGTAGAAGGGACATGGGGAATTACAGACCAGTTAGCCTTACGTCCATTGTAGGAAAAACAATGGAAAGGCTCATAATAGCGAGAGATCCAGTGATGCTAGATAGGGAAGGGAGGCTGGCAGCCACACAACACGGCTTCCGCAATAACAACTAGAGTATTGTGCTCAGTTTTGGGCTCCTCATTACAGGAAGGATATAGCCAGGTTAGAGTCAATGCAGCGTAGGGCCACAAGGTTGGTGGCCGGTTTGCAGGGGATGCCGTATGAGGCGAGACTGAGGGAACTGGGTCTCTTCAGCCTGGAGAAGAAGGGACTCAGAGAAGATCTGTTGGCAACATACAGGTATGTGAGGGGGTGTCACACAGAGGTGGGTAGGGACCTGTTCTCCCCTGCAGAGGAAGGCAGGACATGCTCCAATGAAGCAAAGCTCAGGGAGCCAAGGTTCCATTTGGATGCCAGGAAGCACTTCCTGACAGTCAGGACCCCGAGGGTATGGAATGGGCTTCCATGGGAGGTGGTTGAGGCCCCA